CTCATGGCCTGTCCCCAGCAGGAGACGCGGACTTACAAATTCCGGGCGGCCACGGCCTGCAAGTGCAAGCGCTACACCCGCTACCACAACCAGTCCGAGCTCAAGGACTTCGGCAAGGACGTGCCCCGGCCCCAGAAGAACAAGAAGCCGCATCTGGCCAGAGCCAGGAGCGGCAAATCCAACCAGCACGAGCTGGAAAATGCCTATTAGGAGAGAAGGATGGATGGGTGGATGGATGGAAGGATGGATGGATGGAGGTGGCTCTGGGTTGTTGAGTTTGTGAGGTGCCCAGGATGAGGTGAGAGGTGAGAATCTGCCTCCCATGTTCTCAGAAGGCTGATTTATTATTTTATGGTATTATATTGTATTAAAAGAATTTACTAAAACTAAGAGAAAGGATACAGCCGGAAGGCTTGACAAGAATGATGATGAAAAAGTCATGGCTGACTCGTCAGAGTCTGATACAGCTGGTGGTGATTGGTCATTAAGTAAAAACAATTCACATGAAACCAATCAAACATGCACCTGTTGGTAAACAATTCCAAAGCAGCAAAACAGGGAGAAGCAAATGAGATTATATTGGTTTTTTCTCTGAGGTTTCTCATCTTCCCAGGAGCAGAATTCCTGGCGAAGGGATTTTCAGAAAATGTGACAGTGGCACTGGGTGACACAGACCAGCAGCTCCAGATGTTTGCTGAAGCACCAAAAGGCACTCGGGGGTCACACCATGATGTTCTGACTGCAGTGGGTTCCAATTCCTTCTGCTGAGCTGGGTCAAATAGGCCAAAAATGGGTCAGATTGCAGCACTTATGTGTGATAAAGAATGAGATAAAGGCAGCTGGAGGGTCACTACAGGACACGAAATAACACGCAGCTCTCTCAAGGCAAAACCAGAAATTTTAATTTCTGGCTCCAGCATTTATAGATTTCCAAAAGTGACAGTGGATTGGAGGGTGACAGTGCCACCTCTCCAATGACACTGGATAAACCAACAGTCCATCAAATTTCTCCTCCTCCAGAAAAGAATGCAAAACAATGAGTTATTTACATAAAGCATATGAGGAAGTTTGTTACAAGGATGTAAACATCAGAAAGCTTAGAAAAACTTATAAATATGAGTTTTTCAGGAGAGAAGGACCCTTCCATGTGCATGCTGGACAAATAAATTAAAGTTTTCTCCCCCAGTCTCACGGGTTTGCTGCTGTCACTCACTCGTGGTGTCCTTCCTGCAGCTCAAAGAATTGCATCTTATCATGCTGCCAGCACTGGGCAGTTATTTATGTCCTGTAAAACAAAATTCCGCAAGCATCCTGGATAATCAACCAGTATTGCTGGGGAGAATGAAATTCTTGAGTTCACTGGAAAATATTTAGCGTTAGATTTTAAATGTAAAACCATTAGATTATTAGATTATTTGGTTTACCAGAACACATTTAGCACTAGATTTTAAATGTAAAACCATGAGATTTATTGAGTTCATCAGAAAAATCAGGGTGACAGGAGGTGCATGGCAGTTTGTGTGTCCTGGAGGAGCAGGGAGGCAGAGGAGAGTGAAGCTGGTGTGGGGACAGCCACACTTTGCTTTATTCCAAAGGGAATATTTATGGGAATAGAATTTTCAATCCCTTCCCCAGACCAGGATGCAGGACAAGGCTGCAGGTAGGGAAGCACCAGGAGAATCTCTGAAGGAGCCCTGGAACGTTTGGGGCAGCAGGGATTTCAGGTTCTGGTGGATGAAGTCAAATTGTTGGGAAATGAGCACATTGCCAGATGTCCTCATGCACCAGGTGCTGCCTCTGGAACCGAAATGCGACATTCATGTTCTCGAAACAGAAGTAAAAGTGTGACAAATCCATCTCATATTTTTAATTAAAATATTATGGAGCTGACAAATTCAAAACTGGCAACTGGAGCCATATTGATTTGGGAACAAGGATTTGTTTTAGGGACAATTCAACAAATTCTCCTGGAACTGGAGTGGAGCAGATTTATGAACAAGATGCTCCTCCCAAACCAGATAAGCTCACTGATGCTTGTCCTGTAAGCAGCTAACATTATCCATAGCCTGACATAGAATATAGTGATTATTCCTTATTTCCTACAACATGTTGGACTTTAATATCAGCTTGGACACATCCATTTACATTTTCTGTTCTGCAGAGGTTGGATGATGTGGCCACACACTCTGTAGCAGCAAAACTGTGCCAACCAAGCTCTGGGAGTGAGGTGGCGCTTCTGCATTAAACGTGAGCCTCTGCTAAGGCATGAATTCCTCTAGAAAAGCCTTTAGGATGTGCAACTTTGTTTTTTCTTTAGTTTGGCAGCAATTTTCCTTTACTTGGCTTCTCGACACTCAGAGTAATGTTTGTGTTTTTACATTAAAGGATATTGTTAGAAAGTGAATTGTCAAATGCTGTATACATCCTGTAGAATTTATGCTGAAATAATATAAATGTGGAAATTTGAAATGTTGATAGATTTTTCAGTTGTTTTATGCGGGACCAGAACCTAGGGACAAAAGATATCATTTCAGAGAGTGAATTATGTATTTATTTTTTTTTTCCAGAAAATTATTTATGCAATGTTTCAACTTGTAGAGAACGAGAAGTAATACTGCTTTAAAAATATTAGTCTGTTATTTTTAATTTTAAATAAATTGTTAATAAAGTAGAAACAATGATTAATTCTAGAAAGACTCATTGATTTCCAGCTACAGCATAAAGCTGATTTCCTGCAAAGCCAGGGATTTACAGCACAGGGTGTCAAGTCCATTTTCTGGGATTAAAATTGAAATCCTTAATTCTACCAACTACACACCCCTAAAGAAACCCCACCCTGGGACTCCTTGCTCTGGTACAGGATGTTTCTCATGGAAAAATTCTTGCTGGGCACATGAGCAGCTCAGAATTATTTCCATATTCTCATTTCTGCTCCCCCCAGACATTCCCTGATTTGTGTGTTCACAACCGGATAAAGCCACCAAAGAAAATAATAAATCTGTGAACTCAAGAGATCTCAATCAAGAGGTCTTGGTTGAAATCTGAAATTGCTTCAGATTTCCTTCATTGAAAAAAAAAAAAAGGAAGAAAGAAAACCGGTGTGGAATCCCCTTTGCAAGGGCTGCCAAGCAACAATTAAAACAATTAAAATCTTTTACACATTGGTATTGTAGAGCTGTGCCCATTTCCATTGAGTCTTTAAGAAACATTTTTTCAGTAAAATCAGAGAAAACTGAGCTTGGGCTGCACATGGCAGGCAGGTCTTTCAATGCAGATGTAAAATGAGCAGCTTTTTCAATTTAATAATAATAAATTGTCAATAAATTGTCCTTTCCTCCCTATGACTTGATACATACAGAAGAATTTTGGGAGAAAATATCACTTTTAAAACTAACTTCTCCTGCTGATTTGACTAGGGGAGAAAAATAAAGCCCTGCATAAAAACCCAAAGTAAACCATAAAAAAAAACACATAAAAACTCAAAGTAAATAATAAAAAACACATAAAAACCCAAAGTAAATAATAAAAAACACATAAAAACCCAAAGTAAATAATAAAAAACAGATAAAAACTCAAAGTAAAGCATTGTCACAACTGCAATAACATTTTCCAAACTTGCCTTTGCCTTCGTGAATTTGAGCCTTGAATTTCAGAATTCAGTTTGAGCCCTGCAAGCAGTGCTGCAGTGAGAAAAGCAGTTCTGCTCTCTGGAAAGCTGCTCCAGTTTCTCAAGCATCTAAAATCAATGAAATATTGGTTTTTAAATATGGATTGTGACCAATGCCAGTGAGAGAGATTTTCTGCTCTTCGTCTCAGACTCCACCCTGGGCTCCAGGCAGTTCAGCAGCATCAGGCCCCATTCAGGTGCACCAGGATTGTCTTTGGCCCAAATATTTCACCTAGAAGAGATCTTCCTACCCCAAAAAATCATATTCCTACCCCAAAAAATCATATTCCTATCCCCAAAAAACATATTTCTATCCCCAAAAAATATATTCCTATCCCTAAAAAAACATATTCCTATCCCCAAAAAACATATTCCTACCCCAAAAAACATATTCCTATCCACAAAAAATATATTCCTATCCCCAACAATCATATTCCTACCCCAAAAAATCATATTCCTATCCCCAAAAAACATATTTCTATCCCCAAAAAATATATTCCTATCCCTAAAAAAACATATTCCTATCCCCAAGAAACATATTCCTACCCCAAAAATCATATTCCTGATTTTCTGTAATTTTTCCCCTGGAACAGTCACCTCCAACCAGCACTTTTGCAATTTATGTTATCAGGAGAGGAATAGGAAATCGTGTTTTGCTAACAGCTGAAAAAATCAAAATACAGGATGTTACAGAGGTGGATTGCCACATTCTCCTCCACCACCACATTCATATGGATTCTTTTCAGTGAATTTGGGATTGTTTATTCATTTATTTATTTCTTTATTTTTGCACTCACTCTCTATTTTTTAACCTCTAATATTGCTGTGTGTAATTTCAGAGGAGAAAGCATCCCTGACTGTGGGTTTGTAGGAAATTTGAGTTTCTCCTTTACACAAAATTACATATTTTCAGTTCTTTTCAAAGAAAGGACAGTGATCTGTTGTGTGCTCCTTCTACAAAAGCAGATTAGATTAGATTATTAAATTAGATAATTTTCCTTTGGAATTGTAAATTCTTCAAATGGAAGTGAATATCTTCATTGTCACTTTTGCACTAAAGCAGCACAATTGTGCATTATTTATGTGTATCAGCAGTAACAGGTCACTGCTTTTACCCAGGAAAGAAATCAAGTCACTTTTTTCAGACATAATCCATGATTCCTCCAAATCTTTGCTTTTCCAGCCCATTTTTATTTCCAGCAGTTTGTGTAGCCTGGGACACATTCTCTGCAATGCACTCGCTGGCTTAAAATAGTCACCGTGCTCACTTCATTTCTTTTTCTGGCAAAAGTAGAATCCTGCTGTAATAAAATAAAAATGAAAAAATTAAAAATGAAAAAATAAAAAATGAAAAAATAAACAAATTTTTAAAAATGAAAAATAAACCTACCAGCAGAACAAGGATCCTGCTGCTATCCACAGGGCCCCAAAGATTTTGCACAAGGTTCATCATTTGAATTAGAAATTGAACAATAAAGAGCATAACTTTACCCAGTGAGGTCCTAGGCCCAGAAAACGCATCCCCTGTGTGTTCTGCAATGTGGTTGAGAAAATCAGCATTGTGAAATACACAAGGCATAAACATGTAATTTTTTTTTTAGCCCTATGACATCAACTTATAATTAGCTTGTTTCACTCAAATTAGTGCAGCATATGGGCACACAGAACAACTTTTCTATAATAAACAGCCCCAAAAGCTTTCAACTACCATAAAACACATTTACATGCAGCTGGAGTTTGGGTTGAACATGCTGTGAACCTGAAATTTGATAAAGTGGAGCTCCCCTTGACAGGCCAGTCATGGAAATCCGTTCTAAAATAACTCTAAAATCAACTTCTAAAAGAACTCAGCAT